AGTTCTATTGTACAAGTTAAAAGTTATTAAAGATATAAGAAAACGCTTTTACCTAATTCTCCACAATACAAAAATTATCTAATTCTTATTTCATAACGTAACAATCCTCCCACCGTTTTGATTGGTGGTTTGCTTAACTAATCAAAGCTATTTATATTTTTATGAATTAAATGAATGAAAATTATAAAGTTAAAAACTATTGTTCCGAAAGTCCAAGTTTCAGTTCAAAAATTTAATTGGCACTTTAATTAGTCTTCCACTTCTCGTTCTTGCCTTACTCAACACTCGTGGTCTTCCTCTACCTGAAAGTCATTCTCTGGTTTATTCTTACATGCCTCATTATTTACTAGATTAGGTTCAGCTGGTGAGTAAATTTCGAGTGGGAAAATCTTCTGCGCANAAATCTTCTGCGCAGGCCTGACGAGTTCACAGGATGAAGTTTTAAGGCGAACCACTCGTACTTGCCCATCTTTACCAGGAAAAACATCTATTATTTTAGCCATTGGCCATAAAATTCTTTTTTTACCGTCAGTTTCGATTAAAACAATATCTCCTACTTTCAAAAGTTCTGCCGGTTTACTCCTTGATGGTCGTTGTAATAATTGCCCAAGATATTCACTTCGAAATATTTCTCTTAAACCAATGCGCAAATTTTGCTGGTACCTTAATTTTTTATTCAAATTTGCTTGATAAAAATGATCTAAATCTGGCACTCCGACATCATCTATTTCTTTCAAGAACATAGCTGGCGTCAATGGAATGAGTTCATCCCCTTGTTCCGAGACAAAAGTGAGAGGTCTAGAATTTATTGTTGTCTCACAATCACAAAGGACGCTCATCATTTCTTCATAATTTAAAACTGATTGGCCTAAAACTCTACGAAGAAGTTTTTCAACCATTTGCACCATTCTTTCCCAAAATCCTCCCCACCATGGGGAAACAGGAGGATTAAAGTTCCATTGAATCCTATTCACAGATGCTTCGATTTCGATCATTTTCCAATCTAATGATTTAAATAGGTTGTTAGCTCCTGTAAAATTGGTGCCATTATCGCTATAAATAACTTTCGGTCTTCCTCTTCTGTCTATAAATCGTCGTAAACCAAGCAAAAAACTTTGTGTTGATTGAGAAGTTATCAATTCCAAATGGATGGCTCTGTAGACAGCACATGTAAATATAATTATCCATGCTTTGCATTTTTCTCCAAGCATCAAAAGTCCCGCCAAATCTATTCCTGTTGCTTTAAACACTAATGCATCTTTGACTCTGTTTTCAGGTAACATTCCTGAATTGCATTCGATCCTCGTAGTCTGGTGTCTTTCGTGCATGTAAAAAATCATTAATTCCATAAGTTTACGTGTGCTTGGAAGCAGTATAAGACTGATAAAGCTTTCAAAATCTTCTCTTTCAGTTAACTTGGTGCTTACTCTTATGATACCTTCTTTGTCTTTAAAGACGCATAAAGACTTTAACCTTGCGCTATCTTCGTCTTTAAATGACTTTTGCTGAATCTGCTTCATTAATACTTTTTCAACCTCATTCAATTCGTACAACTTCAGCTCACCAATCTCTCGTTCGGTTCTTGTTTTCTGAGCATTTTTAAGGAATCTTAGAATCCATGCCGTCATTCTTAAGATTTTTATGTAACTCGAAAAATATGCTAGTATCCATGAATTTTCAGTGTTCTCGCAGGTAAGAGTTGCTACAACGGCTTTTCTCTGCTCTAAGTATATTTCCTCTTCATTTTCTATTGTGTTAGAATTAGGCAACTCGTTTTTAAACTTGAACAACCAAAGTGGTCCCTCCCACCATTTAGTTTCTATAGCTTTGAAACAGTGCATCCTCTAGATGCACTGTCTAGATGCTCTAATACCAGGAACATGTCTCCTAACCTTGGGCTCACTACATTCGCGTATTTTCTTCACTCTGTTACAAACGAATGTGGCCCAGGGAAGGTCATTCTTCTTAATCCAGAACAAGGCAGTTGTTGAATCCGTCCAATAATATGTTTCATTTAAGAGTTAAACTTTTCGTGACGAATTCAGATAACTTAGCGCCAATATAACAAACTAATAATTCAAGTCTTGGAATCGTAATTTTTTGCAGTGGAGAAACACTTGACTTTGCCTGTAAAAGTTGCACTTTAATTTCATCTTGCGATTCACTTCTAAGAAAAATGACGGTTGCGTGCGAATTCGTTGAAGCGTCAGCAAAAACATGCAAACTACCCTTAATTTTATTGACTGCTGTTGCTTGGCGAGGAATTCTTACTGATGATAATAAAGGTAAATCCTCAAGCCAAACTAAGAATTCCTTTTTCAAATCTTCTGTTAATACGGTGTCCAAATTTAGTTTTTCTTTCTAACTTCAGAATCAATTTTGGTATCAATGTGACTGGACAACTGAATCCAAGTGGATCAAATATTCTTTGAGCTATCACTGTGTGCTTTGAACACTGTAGGCCGTGTGATTGGCATATCTTTCATCTTCATTTTTGGTACATCACAAAACAAGGAATCTTCTCGTTTGTCCCACAGTAATCCAAGTACTTTAGTTACTTCAGCTTTATCTTCATCTTCATCATTATGTATTTTCGTATGCTCCTAGCATCTTAAGTCAAACTTTTCCTTTGACCATCATTTCGGTCGATTTATTAATGAAGTTCCGCTATTCCTCTTCAGTATTCACTGAAGAAACACAATTATCCACATAATAAGAAGATAATAACTTCTCGGCAATTTCAGAGTCAAACTGTCTCAAATAAAATTTGATAACTGCTCCCAAGAAGAAACGGACTGCACTTTACTCCGAACACTACACGACAATGTCTGAAAAGTTTTATTTCTGTCTGATTATCATCCCTCCACCACAAGAAACGTAAGTAGTCACGATCTTTATCATTTACTGAAATTTGAAGAAAGGCACCTTTTATATCGGAAATTGCCCCGATGTTGTTTTCTCTAAATTTTAAAATTATAACGGGTATTAGTTCCATCAAATTTGGCCGCTTGGCTAAGCAATCATTTAAGGAAAAATATCCTTTCTGCTTGGCAGACGCATCAAAAACGGGTCTCACCGGAGTTGTCAAGCCGTTTTTAAAAAATGCTCTGTGAGGAAGGTAATGTGCACTATTGCTTTTAGGTTGTTTAGGGACTTCTTCTATAACACCTTCCTTACACAAATTTTCAAAAACTGTATTGTAGTCGAAAAATCTATTAGCTTCATTAAGTTTTGCTGTAGTAGATAGTAATCTTTTTTCGGCTACTTTTCTATTGTCAGGTAAGATGTTCGCTTCCTTGATCAACGGTAAATAAATTTCATACCGTCCCTCAGAATTCAATTTAACTGTTCTTTAGAAGTACACTTGAACTGCGTCTTCTATTTCCTTTTGATCTTTTATTTCACGTGCCTATTGCTATACCTATTGCTTCAAGTTTCCAAAGGTCCTATGACAGTATTCTGAGTTAATAGAGAAATCAAAATATTCGAATGATTGGCCTCAATAACTGAGGGTTTCATTTTCCCCATAATGACTCATCCTAAATAAGTTTCTGCTGCAGTTAAACCACACTCCATATTGCATACTTTCCGAGTGTAAAGTTTTCCTGCTTCATCGGATCCAATTAATAACTCAAAAGGCTGTCAATGATTCCCAATATCACTAAGTGAGATGCGCTTCAGTACCATTTCTTGTACCCAAGGTCCATCATGAAGTCGTGGAACAAAACTGCAAATTTTATGTTGATCCAAATCTTGCATACTACAACTATAACTATTTTTCAAATCGGTAACTTTAATAGAAAAAAAGATTATGAATTTCGCTGCATGATTTTGACCCTCGAAATAAGTTACAAATCAATGTTTGAGTATCAATTTGGCGAAATTTCAGTTCCTCAACAGTGCTCTTCAGAATATATGAGCGTTGAGAGCCAGTGTCAATTAATGCTCTCATTTTCCTTCTTTACTCTCAATATTTACCATTAAAGTTTGAAGAAATATCTCTCCAGAACAGCAGGAATTCGCAAGTATTACATTTTGCCATTCACTCGAATCGATTACTTTCTCATCTTCTACTTCGGGCTTGTTTGGCGATAATTCTGCACACATGATCGACCAATGTCTCTTAGAACAAATTAGACATTTAACAGATTAACAATATTTTGCTTTATGTCCAAACTTAAGGCATATAAAGCAAGCTTTCTTATTCTTAATTAGTTCTTGCTTCTGATGGTAAGCCAATTTGGCTGCCGTAAAACAGTCTCTACTGTCATGGTTTTTGTCGCAAAATAGACACCTTTTATCTACCACAGTCCTCGACCTCTTACTTCCAGAAAATAACCCATTTGCTGTTGGTATAAATAGATCAGCTTTAGTCCTCCTTTCTTTCTTAGTACCATCAGCGATAAATTTGAATCCAGTTTCACCAAAGAAATTCGTTGTTCTCCTTAAACTTCGTTTCTCAGAAACGATAGCAGTTGCTTCAATTTAATCTTAAAATCTCTTCAGGAATGCACGATTCAACCAAAGGGAATAACATTGCTGCATATTTGTCACTGGTCATACCTATTGACTCTAAAGAACGAAGGCAGGATTCCAACTTATCGTATAAATGAGCTACATTTATTCTTCTCGGTAGTTCTGTGGCATTTTTAATAACTAGATTCAATAATTCTCTGACATAAAATTCGATTGTTAATTCTTCAGCACCAAATCTATTTTTAAGCATTCAATAACTTTATTATAATTCTCAGCAGTGGCGGGGAAACTCTCCACGATTTTTCTAGATCTGGAACCAACTACGGTAGCTTGATATAAATTAATGGAATTTATCTTCTTTTTCCATTTCTAGGTCATGGTGAATACGCTTAAGCTGATTCCAGAATGTAAACCAATCCTTAATGTCACCTCCGAATTGTTTCAATTCAATCTTGGGTAATTTTAATTTTCGTCTGCTTAGCTTTTGGCGACGAACTAAGAGAACCCAAGGAAGGTTCAACTTTCTTATTGTAATAGTCTGCAATTTCTACACGAGCGAGATCCATTTTTTCACTATACTCTTCTGTACTTGTATGTTCTATTTCAAATTCTTCATCAGTTTCAAACTTTTTTTTCTAGTACTCTTGAGTCAAATTCATTAAATATTCCATACAGTCGTTCTAACGTGGCACTTTCAATTTTTAATACTCCATCATCTGGTAACTCTTTATTTAATTCTTCGAATAAAGTATTAAACGTTTCGGAAAAGGAAGCTCTTGTTGCTCCACGTTTTCTTAATATTACATCTATTCTTAACTATGATATTAAACTTAACTTTTAATTTTGATCGATGAAATAAATCGCGTAACAAACGTGTTTACAGTAACTAACCTGTTACTATTGCCTTTTACCAAGTCCGGGGTTACCACAAATGTTGAATACAGCAAGAAATATACCCTATTTCTTCCACTCCTATATTTCATTTAACCAAATTCTTAAAAGAAATACAAAAAATGTTCTACATGTTTATAAACTTAAACTAGAGTTCTATTGTACAAGTTAAAAGTTATTGAAGACATAAGAAAACGCTTTTACCTAATTCTCCATTATACAAAAATCATCTAATTCTTATTTCAAAACGTAACAACGAGAACCTCCCACTGTTAGGCTGACGTAAAGGGGATTCTAACCCATGATCCGTCTACCACTGAGAATATTTCACGTCAGCACTGTGGTCGGTGCAATCAGGTTGCGGAATTCGTATCGACTGTGTCGGTAGTATCTCCCTGAATATTGTTTTTATGATAATATGTATAATTAACCATGTTTTAGTTGAAATTGTGAACTGTTACAATTGACCCCGTAAGTGGGGACAATTGTAACAAGTACACGACTGTCAAAAATTGTTAATAACTAATATAATAACATTTAAAAACAGGTATTTTTTTTTCTAGTAGAGGATAGTCTACTTTACTCGTCTGTCAATTAATACTAATAATATATTGGATTTTTTGTTAGTTAAAAATAGTTAATTAAAAAATGTTACAATTGACCCCACTCTCCCCTACCAAGACAGAAAAAAAACTGGCACGAAAGATATTTCATTTTAGCATTTTTATCGAAAGAAATAAGAATTTCTGTAACAACTAAGATTTTTTCTCACAATTACAGCTGCTGTTGTACCTGTAGTTCATTTATGTCGCACTAGAGCTGCACAATGGGTTATTGGCGACGGTCTGGGAAGCATCCCTGAGGATGATCCGAAGACATGCTATCTCAATTTTAATCCTCTGCAGAGGGGATGGCAGCTTCGGTAGCCCAACGACCTGCACGCTAAGTCGAGCCCTTTAAGGTAGAACAGTTTAACGAGGACCTATACCGCACATACTCGGTCCCTACGCTGACTGATCCAAGTGGTCACCCTCCCGCACACTGACCGCAACCGGTGATGCTTGACTTCGGTGATCTTCTGGGAATCGTGTCTTTACTATCAGTCCACTGCGGGGAATCACAATTTTAACATATATATAGAACTGCTTTTTTCTCAAGAAAATGTAGATATTGATGAATAATTTAAATAAGAGAATAGATTTGCCTATCCCGGTAACTATTTAAATCTGAAACGGTTTTACCACCAGTGTTTCCTCTTTTC